GTTGTGTTTGATTCTTTGTAACACCATTTGGGATTTTCTTGGTAAAGATACTGGAATTGTTTGCCATTTCCTTCTCTAGTTCATTTTATAGATGTGGAACTCAGGCAAACAGGCTTAAATGACTTGCCCAGGGTCATACAGTTAGGAAGTGTCTGAGGTCAGAGTTGAACTCAGGTCTTCTTGATGGAGTCAGAGTCCCACACTTTATCCAATGTGCTACCTCACTGATCCCATAAATTGAGAGGGTATAAAATTGAAAAATTTTAGAAAAATCTGGTTTGCTAAAATGAAATCAAGCTAGATTTAATATTCCCTTTTACAATAATTACCCCTGGTAAACTTCATCTACTACTAACATTCAGGAGAAACTTGATTAAAGGCCAAGCTTTTGTGTTATAATTACCTCCACTCTTGAAACCCCTAGGGAAGCTAGGTGGGGCTGTGGATAGAATACAGGCTCCAGATTAAGGAGAACCTGAGTTCAAATCTGACATCAAGACTCTTACTAGCTGTGTAACCCTGGGCAAGTCACTTAACCATATTTAACACAGTTCCTCATCTGTAAAATGAGCTAGAAAAGGAAATGGCAAACTGCTCCAGTATCTGCAAAGAAAAACTCAAATGGGGTCACGGGAGAGTTGGCCAAGACCAAAATCTCTCAACAATAAAATTATAACCCCACCCATCACCCACTTTCCAGAGAAATTTGATTAACCTTAACAGTCATGTCTCATCAATTTAAACTATCGTATCAACTCCATTGCCTGAAGACTATTCCTATTGAAGAGATCTAGAGGTTTGGGGGTTTTGCTGGAACCCCAAGATTGCAATACTGGGCCCCGCCTGAAGGAATTCAACTCAAATCTTCAGCCAGAGGAAAAGTTTATTCGTGATAAATCACATAGACCAGGTAACGCCATGAGGGCGAGTGGGCATGAGAAAGTCTCAGCCTTTTGGGTGTGAGATTCTCAGCCCCAGTGAGGGCCAGGATAGATCTTATATACTAAAGTGACTTTGGGTCATCAAGGGAGGGTCTGGGGAAAGGGTGTGGGTGAGAATTCTGATTGGAAGGTCTGAGAGATTGAATAGACAATGGGAATAGATAATGAAATCAAAAAGGTAGGTCTAGGGCTTTCAAAGGGAGATAAGGGGCTGGGGCCTGTAGACAAATAGGAATCAGATTCCTTTTGGGGCAAGGGGCGAAGACCTCTCATTTGGGCCACACCCCATCACTATAACCTGGGGTATATGGGTGTCCAAGCAGGACTAGCCCCTCTAATATGAGGGCTGGCCAAGACCTTTTCAGGGCTATTCATTCACCTTTGGTGTCCACCTCCACCCAACTCTTATCTGTGGCTCCAAGAAGCTGTAATATGTAAAGTGGCCATACCTCAGTAAAACTGTCTCAGCAGACAGACTAAACCAAATTGAGGGTAACTAACTGATGGGCCACAAACCAGTTGGTGAGTTAGGGGAGTGTCTACCCCAAGCATTGGCACTATGGATAGATAAAAACAATTTGTTCCAATGACCATAAGGCAGCTGAAGCAGGGGTGCTTGGAGCTTGGTCAGAAAGTGAAATGACAAGGTCATCCACTGCATCCCCAGCCATTGTCAGTCCTCCTAGCTTTTGTTTTGCCACTAGACTTTGATTATTCTAGAAGAGAGGATGAGGCTAAAGACTTTATGCAACTCTACTCCACTAGAAGGAACAAAAAGAAGAACAAATCCAAATCATGAAGGAGTCAAGACCCACCCTGTGATGTAATTCATCCACTTCAAAAATGAAGGACAAACTACAACTCCCCGTCACCTGAGAATCTTTGTCTTGTGACTTGAATCACATGTCTTGGCTGTGTCTAAGAGAAGCTATTTTTAAAACCTATTGTTTTAAAATTCTAAATGAATATGTATGTGTATATCTGTGTGTGTGGATATGTTATATGTGTGTGTGTATATATATTCAAGACCTTAAACGATTTTTTGTTAGCATGTAAACTATCATAGGCAGAGGGTATACATACTTAGAACCATAAGACTATCAGACTTAGAAAGGTGGGTCCAAAGGATGTAATTTCAGTTCTGACTATGACATCAATAGCCAGTCAGAAGAAGACACACCTATGTTGCTTGAGATTTTTATCTGTCATCTTGCTAATTGTTATAAAAGACCCTGTCAGCCCTAGGTCTTTAGTTATTGAGAGATTCCATTGACCCCATTTATTGGTAATTGCTAGCCATATCAATAAATGGAGCATTCTCTGAACCTTGTCTCTCAGAGTTTCTTTTGAGACCAGGGGAAGGGAATAAACAGTATATATACATACACACATATATACACATAGATAAAGATAGCTGTAAATAGATAAATTTATATATACACACATGTGTGTATACTATACTAACTATATTAATATATGATATAATTAATACAATATGTAATTGTATTATATACATAAATTATATGTTTTGTGTATATTTATAATTAATATAATCTATATTTATAATTAATATAATATATCATATACTAATAATATATAACATACTATACATACTAACTATACTAATATATACTAACATATATGTCAGGCACTGTGCTAGGAACTTTAAAAATATACAAATATTCTCATTTGATCCTCATAATAACCTGGGGTGTAGGTGCTATTATTATCCCCATTTTACAGTTGATTAAATGAAGGCAAACAAAAGTTAAGTGACTTACCCAGGGTAACACAGTTGGATTTAAACTCTGGTATTTCTGCCTCCAGGCTTAACACTCTATCCACTTCACCATCCTTCTGCCCCAAACACTAGGTGATTTTAATTTCCTTCTAACTCTTGAATCTATGATCAGATTGTAACAAACATTCTGGCAAGGCTTGAAATGGTTGCCTTGTGAAAGGGAGAAATTGCTAAAGACCTTGGGTATAGTATTTCTTTCCAGAGATGAGCTGGAATGAGGAAGAGATGAAGCTGTCTTGGGATTGGAGCCAGGGGGATGATTTCAGAGTTTTAAAATCACTATAAAGATGCACAGTGAGAGTTGCAGAAAGTGAACAGTGACAAAGGCCAGAGATAGGACCCTTTTCAGGAGACTGACTATAAGCCTGATAGTGGCTGAAGCCTTTTCTTTTCTCTGGACAGCCCTCTATGCTTATTTTAAGAATTTGTCAGATATAACGCCTGCCTCTGTAAATTACTGAAATAATGGTGAACTTACTCCACTCTCTTTCCTTTTTCTGTTATATTACTGTATGCATTGGGCATAATTACCAAGTGTTTCTTTGCTATCTTAAATTTTGTTCAGCAGTTATTTTTATTTTTTAATGATGATTTTCTAGTTAAAAATCATTTTAATTATGTCCTGAATTTGTGTATTTGCTATAAAGGGTGAGATAATGGCAGGGAAATCCACGGATAATTAATTATACCAAATACAACTTTCTGGGAAGTCTTCCTTTTGACTTGGTGATCAAAAGAATACCCTGGGGCTCAGAGCTTCAAGAATTGTATTGTTGTTCAGTTGTTTGGTCCTTCAGTCACGTCCCACTCTTCCAGACCCCATGCACCATAGCGTCAGGACTTTGTATTTGCCACTATCTCTTGAAGTTCGTGTTCCTTGTTTCCATGAATTTTATTAATAATCTGTATGGAAAGCTTTCTGATTTTTCAGAAAAGTGAAGTAGAGTTGCATGGTCTTTTTTCATAAAAGACCCTCACTCTAGATTAGAACCCTTATGAATTCATCTCAATATCTCCATAAACACAAGTCACTGTGTAGCAGGGGCCTTTGGGCTTTCTTTGCTCCCTGAGGCAAGAGAGGGAAGAGGAATTAAAGTGAGAGATCTCTAAAGAAAGTCACACCCTAAAATAATCCCAGAGGGTAGAGACAAGCATTCTCAAGGAACATTAATTCCACCCATTTCCCCAAAGGGAGATAGGAATGTGTTCCTTATTCAAACTGCCCTCTGTAGGGACTTCTGTTAGGCTAGTCACTATGCCATGCTAGTCACTATGATCCAGGGGTTTGTGTGGAGGCAAGTGGGTGGTGGGACATGGGCAAGAATTACAAAGGCTGAGAAGGCTGGGAGGATCTGCACAGATGGAAGGACAACTCCACTGATGGGATCACGGATTTAACCATTCATATGCATTTAATAAACATTCCTTAAGCTTTATATTATGGCAAGGGTGCTATATTTAATGGTGGGGGGAGGGAAGGGGGTAGAGGGAATAAAACTTTAGATAAGATACAGGATATACTTTCTGGGAGCTCTCAGTCTAGTAAGTATCTAAGTAAACACTTCTTTTCAATTCTTTTATTTCTTTTCTTTTCAACAGAATTTTCCACCAACTTTAAAAGTACTGTTTTATATATTTGTTTAACTTATGCATTAATACAATACAAAAAAGACCAACAATATTCATATACTACATAAGAAACAATAATATCACTTAAATAACTATGCATTAGAGATGGACATTTTTATAGGATCATACACAATCAACATTTCTCTAATGGGGTGGCTCATAGTGCATTCATGAAGAGAATTGACATACAAGTACAGTCTCCATTCTTTATTTTGGCACATATTTGAAGAGAGACACTAAAGCTAACTGCAGACTCCTCTAATGGAACCTCTCTAAGATCCCTCCAAAATGTGGCATCCTGTGTACTATGTTCTGAGTTCCCTCCCAATTCTCACATTCTGTTTTCTATGTTCTAAGGTCCCTTCCTACTCTGACATTCTAAGATGATACCTTTACAAGTATGGGGGGGACAGACCCTAGTACCTCACTCTTTCTTATGAAAATCCTAAGGGATCAAATGCTACATTTTTTTTTATCCTAGGTAACCCAGTGAATACTAAATAAAATACAACAGTGGAGTGTGTGTGTGTGTGTGTGTGTGTGTGTGTGTGTGTGTGTTCTTCCAGTGTATGAACTTGACAGCTCATTGGAATCTTATATTTTATAACCCATTATTCTTTTGGCCTTCATTTAAAGGCATGGAATCATGATGACACCATTTGCTGACTAGTAGTATTTTGACTAACTTTGGAGGATTTTTCAGGAATCAAGGGCTAGATAGGGACCTGTTCTCCTTGCTCCTTTTCACTCAAAGAGAACACCAAACAACCCATCACTTTTAGAATCATCAACAATTTCTCTGGACTCTTTAGTGTTAGCTGACAAAGGTTGGAAAACATCTCTGGGATCCCCAGATGTTGCCATGTTGGTGGCTAATTCTTCACTTGATTCCAGGCCCCTCTGTCCAAGATTCACACCATACCCTGAAAAGAATCCAGATTCAAAAAGGAAATTATAAGTGGTGATTAGACTTTGACTGTTAGATCAAGATAAACTCACATCTGAACTACAACTTTGGTTTTACTTTGAAATTGAAACATATAGGTACACTGTGCCTTACAAAGAAATGTGAGATAAAGGAAGGTAGACTTTGACTATAAGCTCCTTCCTTTTTCTGAGATTTTTTTCTCTCATCTATGAAGTTGGAATAATTATGCATGCACAACCTCCCTCACTGGATCATCTTGAGGAAAGCACATTATAAACTGTACAGTCCTGCATGAATTACTGCTATTATTATCTCTGTGTGTCTCTTTTCCCCCATGTCCTTCATCTTTCCCCACAAGCATAAGTCATTAAAAATTCTTTCTCCATTTTTTTCCCTCCCAGAGTCAGCTAGAGACTAAATGCCAGACAGTTATTCAAGTAAATGAATGGAAGCATACTGTCCAGCACAAGGAACATGGTAGCTCACCAGCACCAAAGTTGAGCAGATGTGCATCTTCTCCCTCCACCATGACAGCAATGCTGCTCCTCTTAATATAGGTAGTTGTGATCTTCTTACAAGACAGCAAGATCTCAAGGAGCTGCTGGAATGACAGGCCACTCACTTTGGGATCGCCAACCATTTTGTAGGCATTGAAAACCCGATGGTAGATTTTCTTCATTGCCTGAAAGAATAGTGCACAGGAGATCAAAGCTTGGTGACTCCTTTGCCAAAGATTTCACATTTGTACATATTACTTTTGCATACAAACATACTTTATGTTCATCATCTCATTTGAGCCTCATACCAATCTTATATGGGAGGCAAGGCAGGGCTTATTAATCCCTTTTCACATTCTGGTGTTTGTTGAGAAGAAATGACTTGAACCAAGGTTACAAAGCTAGTAATTGATAAAGCAAAAATGAGATTCCCCCATCATACATCACAGATCATAGTGCCTAGTCTTGGAAGGGATGATAGACATTATCTACTCCATCATTGTGATATTATGGAGGAAGGAACTGAGACCCAGAGGGAGAAAGGGGCTTGCTCAGGATCACACAGTGAGTGGCAAAGCCAGGGCTCAAACTGGAATTCTCAGACTCCAAATCCAGCACATTTTCCATTGAAATATAGCTAGTTATTTCTGGATCCCAACCCTGAATTGGGGCTGGAAAAAAAAAGCCAGCTCTCAAATCTAGAAGCTAGATGCATTTGGAAAGTTACTGTTGGACTTCATGGATCTTGCCAGGATTATATGGAAGGCATTGAAGGATCCACATGGAAAAAGTAAAAGAAGCTGAAGGTCTTTTTAGGACCCTCATATTCAGCTATAAAACTGATGACCCTAGTTCCCTTCTCACTTGACCTACATCCCTCTCTATTGTGGGCAGGGGAGCCCAAACTAACTTTGTAGTAGAGTCTATGGGATTGCCATAACTGATAAGAAGGTACTTTGACCTCCTTTTTCAAATTATGGGGAAAGTTGAGTTTGAATAAACAGAAAGAAGGGCCTGCATAGCTACTCACTCAGGTAAGATTTTGTTAAAAACATTAGGCACTACCTTGTAGAGATAACATGGTATAGTGGATGGAACACAGGACCTGGAATCAGGAAGACTTGGGTTTGAATACCACCTCTGACATTTACTAATTCTGTGACCCTGAGAAACTCATTCAACCTACCTGAGCCTCAGTTCTCTCACCTGTAAAATGGGGATAATAACAGCACTTGTTTTGTAGGGTTGCTATGAAGATCATGTTAAATATTTATATAAAGTGATTTGCTAGCCTTAAAGCACTATATAAGTGAGAGTTATTATTAACATTGTCATCATTATTATTAATCATGAGATACCACCGCAACTTGGAGTCAGGCCTTTGCTAAGTCCTACCCAAAATGGTATTTCAGTATATTGGAGCTTGTCATTTCTCAATCATGGTGTACATTTTGTGGGTTCAATAGGCCAAAATCTAGTTACAGACTTGATGTCTACAAGATTCAAAGCATTTTATGATTGCCATATTTTAAGCAGTAAAGAAAATATTCAAAATCTCTTCTCCTTTGGTTTCAGTTTTCTCATCCGTAAAATGAGGGTGTTGGATGAGGGGGCTGCTGAGGTCCCTTTCTAAGTCTGATAGTCTTATGGTTCTAAGTATGTATACCCTCTGCCTATGATAGTTTACATGCTAACAAAAAATCGTTTAAGGTCTTGAATATATATACACACACACATATAACATATCCACACACAGATATACACATACATATTCATTTAGAATTTTAAAACAATGATCAAATATCTATTGGATATATTATTTAATATTATGGTTATCTCTCTGTGTGCATTTTCCCTGTGGTTGGAGCAATATCACAATATCCCTCTCTCCATCCCCAAGCAAGTTGGGCTCATTTTTCTTTACTAGATATTGAGACCTTTCTTGAGACTTAACTGGCTCAGAATGTTATCATGACTTCCTGGTCCCTAGTACAAAACAGCCAGGAAGAGATCCAGACTTGTCCTGATAGGAAAGAGCTTTGACTTTCTTTTTCAAATCATGGGGAAAGTTGAGTTTGAATGAAAAGGAAGAAGTGGTGAACCACTGGTCAAGTCAGAGTCAGCAGAGCTGTATTCAGCTGGTTCAACCCAACTCAATGCATATCCTTGTTCTCTAGTTATACCTAAGTAAATCTCCTTTGTTAACTGTTGAACAACTCATGAATGTCTCATTCATTCCAACACTCAACATAAACTACCAGGGGATTAGCCTGAATCAAGTTCTGCTGAGAACACCCCTGTATTAGACTGTAGGTATAATGAGTGCAAGGATTATCTTATAGCAAAATTTTCTATTTCCCCCAATTCTACACACAGTACGTGCATAGTAAGTGTTGATTGAATTGAATGAGAAGGACCTGTGAAAACAGTAGGATTTGGAGTGGGGAGGTACAAGGAGGCCGCTGACACAACAAATAAAGAATCCAGTGACATCCTAGAAGGTGGATGCCAAGAAGTAATTTTTTCTTTCTTATACAGGAATCTTGATTCGTAAGATTTAGATCTGGACTAAGCCCTTAAAGACCTCAGAGAATACAACTTTTACATTTTATAGAGGAGGAAGCTGACATCCAAAGAGCTAAGGGCACTGGTCCACAGTTACTATATTGGCTCAAACAAAACGGCAACTGTTTAAAATACATTTTCATAATGTCTGGTTTGTAGTTCTGTGCCCATTTTTCATAATGTTTATAAGAATATTTGCTATTCAAGATTTTTGTAACTAGTGCCATCTTTTCTCTGTGAACCTCAACAAATTGACATTGCTTGCTAGAGAATGCCAATGTTTTATGCATCTATATGGTAAGATAGTTATCTATATATCTATATTGGTAAATTGAAATCTTTTTTCTCTAACAGAATCCTTGTGAAGTTCTTTCTAACCCCATGTCTAGATTAGCATTCATATGTAGACTCCCAAGAGAAACTTGTAAATGTTTTTGAGCATTGTTTTCCCCTATGGAGAATGCCTCAGGCCTATTTCTGTTGGGATGGAAAAAAAATTTAGAAGATAAAGGAAACTCCTTAAGATTCTTTGTTTTCACCTTACATACAGTTTTTTAGAGTATTTATTTTTAAAAATTTATTTATTTTTGGTTTTCAGCATTCACTTCCATAAGCTTTTGAGTTTTAAATTTTCTTCTCCTCCCTCCTCTCCTTCCTCTCCAAGATGTCATGCAATCTGATATAGGCTGTCTACATACATTCCTTTTAAACATATTTTCACATTAGCAATGTTGTAAAGAAGAATTAGAATGGTTTTTTTACTTTTATTTTTTACAATTTTGCTATCTTGCCTTCTATCCCTTAAATTGCAGGAAAAATCCCTATTTCCAAAATTGTGATGATGCTTATCTCAACCTGAATGAAATTTCGTTTAATTTTTTTCTTTTTTTTTGTATCATCCCAACTCCAATAGAAAATAGATTGCTGCATTGTAAGTAGAGATAAGAAAGATAATCTATCTGATCCTACAGAGAACTAGAAACTTGAATCATTACTCAATATAAAGGGAAATATGGTGAACCATATTTGGTGCCTCAGCTTTATTAAAAACTCTTGGAATGCTCTTCATTAATTAGTCTGGTATCTGAGGCTTCTGCATTGTCCAGATCATCTGTCTGGGAGTTGTCATTCCCTACTAGCTAAGTGCAGACTGTAGACTTCTGTGCTGCTCAGGTAGCTGGTAGAACTCAATAGGAGACACAGATCTAGGGAATGTTTCATCTCATCTCAGACCTTTGTACCTCTACTGGCTGCAAAGATTAGCATCTAAAAAAAATCTCATTAGGATACAAAAATTCTATTCATGTGGTTGCTTTTTTCCTCCCTGGGGAGGAAAAAAGTTATCACAGAATCAATCATTTAGGGAGTAATTGACAGTAAATGTAGGGAGTAATATAGTCAGGAAAATCATCACAGAATTTGTTTTTGAGAGATGGAAGAGACCTCAGAGGCAAGCAAGCCCAAACCGTGTGCACAAGTTTTTCTCTCTTCTCTCTATTCTAGGGATATCAATCCCTTTTGGTAAAGAGACCTCATAGGTCCAAGGGTTACCTAAAGAATGAATCTCTCATATAAACTTCCTGTATCTTGGTTATGGTTTCTATACGTGTCACATCATGAGGATCTACAAGACTTTCTGTGATAATGTCCTTAGAATAGAATTCAGAAACCGCTCAGTATATCCAACATGGACATTTTAAATTTTATGTTGAACCATGTCCAAGGAAGCAAATATTGGATATGTTAAAATTGTGCTCTATACCAAATAAAGTATAATTCCTCATCCTGGCATTCAAAGCCTTCCATAATCTGACTACAACCTGACTTCTCAGTCTTATGTCATATGACTCACCTTCATGTATTCCATCTACATTCCAGCCAAACTAGATTTCCTACTTGACTGAGCTTACTAGCTGTGGGATCTTGAGCAAATTATTTACCTTCTCTGGTCTCTAAATTCCTCAACTGTAAAATTAAAGGATTGGACTAGATACTCCTCAAGTCCCTTCTATATCTAAATTACTATGTTTGAAGGTCCCTTCCACCTCTTATAGTCTATTTAAAGGACCCTGGCATCTATTGTCAATTGTTTCTTCCCATTCATTTCTTAAGCACAAAGGAAAAGAAAGTAATATTTTTGGCTCAATGTTTTAAAAAGGTCTTTATATTTTGTAAATTCATGGTTACTATTTCATTGTTTTTTTCATATTCTTTTTAAAAAGGAAAAAGATACCTATACTCCCAAGTTCCTACTCAATTGCCCTCTTTCTTCCCCATGTGACACTATAGCTGAGTATCCTTTTATTGCTCTGTTCCTGGGTGAAGGTTCGTTATATCATTAAGCAAGTGACATGGTATAGTAAAATGAGAACTAAATCTAGGATCAGACTAGGGGGTGGGGAGTGGTAATGTAAGCAAAACACAGACTAATGCCATTCCTGCTGCCAATTAAATCAGTGCTGTAGTCCTTTTGACAAATAAGTTAGGGTTATTTGTGCTTTTCTTTATCAAATAAAATTCTATTTGGTCTGGGAAATATGGAACAAACTGATTAAAAGGGAATTGAAGTTCAAGGCAACTGACAATATTGCCCATAAGAATGGATCAAGTCTTCAAGTAA